CTTGAAGCAGAGGTTTCCCACATCCCAACTGAGTATCCTAACTACTGGGGTTCGGAGGGAGGTCCTGCTCCCTCCCCCAGCTATTTTGCGTGGCATTTGAGGCCTTGTAACATGGTTACAGAATTTGACCCCACAGACAAGATAGGCAGAGGAGTGCATCACTCTGGACAGGCATCTGGACCCCCTTAGACTCAGGCAGCAGTGCACATTCTCAGAAGCAGAAACTTAGGCTACTTACATGATTAGGCAACAGCTAAGTCAGTGGGTTAAAAATGCTGGCTGAGGATCTCACTGGATCATAAATGTTGATTTTTCAATAAGTCTTGAAACACTGGGAAGTTCTAGAAGAAAGTTAATGTTGTACCAACATTTACAAAGAGCAAATGGATTGACCTATATAATTACAGGCCTGTCAGTTTTACATTTATCCCAGGCTAGATAATAAAAGAGTGGATTAATAAAGAATTAAAAAAGAGGATGATATAATTAATGCCAGTCATTGTGGTTTCATATAAAACAGATCCTGTCAAAGTAATTTGATTTTTGTTATGCCATTACAAGTTTGGTTTATAAAGATAATAGTGGTGATGTACTTGGTGCAAGAGAATATGGCCATCCCTACCTGTCAGTCTGAGGGAGGCCATGCCTCCTCACTGTCACACCCTTAGAATAGCAATCTATCAACGGGGAAAATTAGCAGGGTGTGAAGCTTGGGCCGAGCAGCAATCAGTCTGGGTAGAGCCATACAGAGTCTAGGAGTCCAGAACCTCAGGCAGGGTCGGGTACCAAAGACTAGAGCTCTGACCTACAGTCAGTGCAGAGCAGCAACGGAGTCAGTGAGACCAGGCCCTCGAGTGCAGGGGGCCACCCACATTTGGGCACCCTTCCTCTAGAGGATGGCTGACAAACACAGGCCTAAAGATGGGGAGTCTGACATCCCAGGGGAGAAGTGGCAAGGGGATAGGGGACCTGGGTCCACCTTACTCCACCAAGTGCCAGCCAGAGCACTAGCAGTGAGAAAGTGTTCCATCAGTGGAGATCCACCCACACCATGCTGATCTAGAATCAGGCCAAGCCCCAGTTATACTGTAGTCTAGTTTGCCTGGGTAACTTCCTACATCCCATTTGTTTGGTACCTCCATTTTGTGGGTGTCCTCTGTCTCCCCAGAGTAGGTGGCCAGGTCCAGTTGGCATTTCAATTGACTGGTAGATCTGGCAAATCCTCAGTATGGTCAGGATCCTCATCAGGTTTCATTAGCATGCGAGACGCATCTACCTCCCTCAGCAGCTTCAGCCCAAATGAGATGCAGGGCCTGTCTTTTTGTATGTCCAGGTTCTATTTTGCCCATTTACTTCCAGAGGGTTGAAAATGGCTTTCCTGGCTCTGTCAACCAGAGCTTGAAAAATCCAAAGCCCTCTCACCACCTGCACAACTACGCATTTACTCCCAAAATTCAACGACCCCTACCTATTCATATCTGTAGGATACTTGCAAGGTATGTGTAGGGTATTCTATCTGTTCATATTTGTAGGGTACTTGGAGGTCTCTATAGCCTAGGATCAGGGTTCCTATGGATCAGGGTCCTATATCTAGAGTTAGGGTTCCTTTAGGAAGATCATTTGTAATATGTGTTAGGATTTCTGTGGGTATGGCTTCCTCCATAGGGTTCAGGTTCTTATGGTTGGGGTACTTTGAGGTAGGATTAGAGTTCCTATTGTAGGACACTTGCAGATAGGGTCAGAGTTTGTATCTGTATGGTACTTGGAGTACTTGGGTTCCTATTGGAAGGGCTCACCCTAAGGTAAGGGTTCTTTTGAGTCAGAGTACCAACTCTAGGGTTAGGGTTCCTCTGGGGAGGGCACTTGTAGCCAGATTTAGGGTTAGAGTTCCTATGGGTAAGCTACCAGGAGCTATGGTTAGGGTTTCTGAGAAAGCCCAATGCACAGGAACTCTAACCCTACCAATGGGGACCCTATCCCTAGTCTGTAGTGCCATGTTCATTGGAAAGTTGATCTCGGGGCATAGACCTCCTAGTGAGAGGAACCCCAATCATAAAGCCAACTCCCCTACCGTTAGATCAGGATTCCTATCCATAGGAACCCTAACTTTTGGGCAGGAATCCCATACATAGGAATCCTTATGGTATCATAGTAACCCTAACACTAGAACAAAGACTCCACCCGTAACTACTGTAACCCTAGCCCAAAGTCTCCACCCACAGAAATGCTAACCCTAGGGCTTCAAATCCTACCCATAGGAGCCCTAACTATTTGTTGGGGATCCCTAACCATATGAAACCTAATCCTAAAATGTAGCAAGCATTATTTGGGTCAGGGCCATGGACCCACAGAAATATCAATCAGGGCTGCACACAAGAGAAACAAAAAAACCCAACAACAAACCCCAAACCCACCCTCATTGACATGGCCCCTGACAGAAGAGAAATACACTCCCTACATAACCCTTGCACAGCAGAGCCACACGGGGGGGAGGGGGGGACAGCCTAGCAGATTTTGTGTGCTCCTGAGCCTTGAAGGCCTGATCCAGGCAAGCTGGAGACTGTATCTGGCCCCCAGGCCTGAGACTGCCCACCCGTTCTGAAGGCTTGTCTGGACTCTGGACTACAGGGGCTCGTCTACACTGGCCCCTTTTCCAAAAGGGGCATGTTAATTTCACAGGTCGTAATAGGGAAATCCGCGGGGGATTTAAATATCCCCCGCGGCATTTAAATAAAAATGTCCGACGCTTTTTTCCGGCTTTTAGAAAAGACCCCGATCCTCCGGAAAAAGACACCTGGGAGGCCTCTGGGGTCTGTGTGACTGGCTCCAGGGTGAGGGTCGCCGTCTCCTCACTGTCCTCTGGCACCATGTCCCCATCTCCTGACTGCTCTGGGTCCTGCTCTGGCGCGTCCACCACAGGGTCCGCCAAGCCTGACTGCACGAGACGCCGTGGTGTGCGTGCTTCACCACCACCACCCAGGATCTGGTCCAGCTCAGTATAGTAAGGGCAGGAGTGGAGGGTTGCCCCAGAACGGGAGCTATCCTCCCTGGCCTTCACATACCCTTGGCGCAGCTCCTTAACTTTGGAGCGCACCTGGTCCTGGGTGCAGGGGTAGTGTCCTTTCTGGGCCAGGGACTCTGCCATGCGGCCATAAATGTCCGCATTTCACCGCCGGCTTTTTAGGGCTTGTAAGGCCTCCTCCTCTCCCCAGAGCTCGAGAAGGGTCTTGAGCTCTGGTCCAGACCATGACGGTGCCCGGCGTTTGGAGCCCCTGGTTGGGTCCCCAGAAGGCTCT